AGGGTTAGGGTTAGGGTTAGGGTTAGGGTTAGGGTTAGGGTTAGGTTTAGGGTTAGGTTAAGCGTTAGGGTTAGGTTTAGGTTTACGCATTAATTTTAGCGTTACCGCTCACAGCGTGCTTTTTTTGTCGCGCTGTGATGACGTCAGGTACGCGGTTTCGTCGAGCGTGCTTTAGTCGACCGCGGTTTTGTGGTGGAACCACTTTTTCAGCTTAGGAATGTAGCAGTGGTGGGATTCAGCCAGTTCGCACCACTTCGGGAGAACCGGTTGTTAACTTTCTGAGCAATTTGGTTAACTGGCTGTTGGAAAAAATCATTAGAGCAGAGAAGCGGTTGTTAAATTATTTGAATCCCACCACTGGAATGTAGCTACATTTTCAAGTTGAACAACCTTACACCAATGCAGAATGAATGAGTGTTGTGCATCCACTGAATGCATATCATTTCAGTGTACACCAAAGGTATATGCTTACATGAACTCAGTAGCAAATTGTATTCTACAGATAGGCACTTGTGCCCTTGGGATGCAGAATTCAAACTAGAACTTTTGCTTAGCCTAGAATAGCTTGCACTGAAAACTTACGTGTACTAGCAAGTAAGAAAGTAAGCAAACACTGCTATATATATATCATATAATTACCGTACACATTTACTTCTACAATCTAATTGCACTGATATGTAAGCCAAGGTATTGAATTGGGTGATTTTAAAAAGAAATATCATCATGAAGGATTAGACTATGACTAATGATTATTTGCTAGTTTTGGAAGAAAATTGCTGAGTTAGTTCAGCCTTTGGTCTGAACATTTGGGCACAAGAAATTGTCTTATTAACAAATGTCTCACATTCTTCTCCATGTTTGAACTAGTCAGAATTTTACAGGTTTTGCATACCAATAATCTCTACTTTCATTCTTTAAAGGGACTTCCGGCTATGCTGACAGCTTTGAATGTACCAAACAGAGAAATGGGGTAGGCTGAAGATCAGAAAGATGAGACATTAGTATTCCACAAGTAGTAGAAAAATAAACAGCAATATCATATCTATCAACATAGTGAAAAATTTGGTGAGGGAGGGAACCCTCCAATCTTGGAACAACATATTATGACGGGAATAATAAATCTCTTGGTCAAGGCAATTGCAAATATATTTTTGCATTTTCATTAAAACATCTATTACTCTGTGCTTAGATTAAGCAATGGGGTGATATAACAACTCGTTACCAGTATGCATTATATTCTTTATTTTTAGACTTGCTTTCTAGGGTTACTCTAGAGATAATTAAAAGAAACCCACAACCTTTTTATTTAAAAATAAATTTATTTTAATAAATTGTGCTTCATTACATTTTGTGTTCCAATTTCTACTATCTATTTACTAATTAAAAAAGAAAATGATTTGTTGTGTTATTTTTCTGACCACGGGGGTGTAATTGGTTCAAAAATAAAAACATAATCAAGTGGATTGTTGTCTTAAATAATAAGACAACTACAAGTAAAAAAATAATAATCCTCTATTCTCACAAGAGTTGTATCTGTGTAACACGCCAAGGACCGCCAGATACTTTCCTTCACTCTGGACTTTATCCAGTTTTCATGCTCTATCTAATTCATCTCTCTCACACACACAAACTGAGGTTCTGCTCCCATAACCTACTTGTGTTGTAAAAGTTCAAAAGGGGAACTGTTGGCCCAGTTAGTAACCACTACAAACACAGTCATTCAGGAGCTTACACAAATTCCACCCAGTCATACAATACCTAAACCAAGTGATCAGATCCATTTTATATATATAGTCGTCCAATAAAACTTAACAAGCAAGCCTCTCAGTTACAGAATTTACTGCTGAAGACAGCAGGAGATAATACACCTCCTATACCCTACTGGTATCCCTAGCAAAGGGTTCACCGACAAAAGGGCGAACGACAAAACCGCGGTGTTCTAAAGCACTCCAATGAATGAGTGCTGAATCGCGACAACAGAAGTGTGCTGTAAAACTAACCCTAAACGTAACGCTAAACCTAACCCCTAACCCTCACCCCTAACCCTAAACGTAACGCTAAACCTAAACGTAACCCTTAACCCTTAACCTAACCCTAAACCTAAACGTAACCCTTAACCCTTAACCTAACCCTAAACCTATCCCTTACATTAAGTTATAAGCACTGTTGTAAAGCGCCGTTCTGTCTCCGCGCTGTTGTCGCCACGTTGATGACCGCGGTTTTAGCGACGCGTTT